CCCATAAAAGTTCCGTGTTTAATATCTTTAGCACCTAAATTCAATGAAGTGTCCCTTTAAATATGTCTCTCTTTAAATGAATATATAATCTACTTCATCTCTCCTTGAGACACAAAATACTAGCTGACAGATACTTCTTGAGCATATAAAAGAAAAAATGTAAATAGAATAAATTACCTAAAAAGATGCATAAAAAGTATCATTAACTAATCTAAAGGTATTAATTAAAAGAACATCCAAAACTTGTGGTTATTTAGTGAGAACTATGCAAAACATTAGTATATTCATTAAGTTATTCAGAAAATAGTTTAGATTGTCACCTGGAATGAAGCTGTACCATCACCATAGAGAAATACACAAGAGAAAACTAAGAAACTACCCATAAGACTCCCTTTGCGAACAGTTGATGTCTCAGCATGTAAACAAGAGAAGCAAAGACTAGATACTAAAGTATGCCTCAAGCTCCCAAGATCTCCTATTAATCTTTCAAAACTATTATTTTGTACTGTCAAACTTCCAAGAGAATACAATACATCCTCATAAATACAGAGGATGTACTCTTCCAAAAATATATCAAAGACTTCTTTTTAATGTAAATATATTCTAGGAAAAACTACAACTAAGGCTACTTACAGCATTGAGCTAATGACTAGCAAATAGGTCTAGAAAGTAAAAGCCAACAGTGACATCTAGTGGGCATTTCAAACACCATCCACCAGACAAGATGATTTCTAGTGCTGAATCACACAGTTCTAGGACAACTTTTACTTCTAACCCCAAATGGAGAGCATGTCCCCATAAAAAACTTCTCAATACAAGCAGTCCATTTTGATAAATATGGACTATGTAAAAATCATACAGTTAAATGCTCAAGTCTTTGCAGCACAAAGTGTGTTGGATATATGACTGATAGATCAAATGGAACTGTGACTTTAAAATAATCAAGATATTTTGAATTAAGAAACATTAGAGCAAACCCAACCAGTAGTGGCATAAGGCCTTTAATCCAAGCACCTGGGAGGCAGAGGCAGGCATATCTGAGTTCAAAGCCACCCTAGTCTACAGAGTGAGCTCTAGGACAGCCAGGGCTACACAGAGAAACTGTGTCTTGGGAGAAAAGAAAAGAAAAGGAGGAGGAGGAGGAAGAAGAAGGAGAGAGAGAAAGAAACCAGCGGATTTATTTGTAAATTTATTCAAAAAAGGAAGTTTTCAAACTAAAAAATTGTATATTATTTACAAAATTTTTCAAAAACTAAAATTATCGTTCAAGGAAAACCCTTTAAAAGTAAAGCCGTGCGCTAGCAAACACCTATAATCTCACATGAGTGTGAGGGTGTAGCTGAAGGCTAGCCTCCACGTCGTAGGAAGTCCCTGTCTTAAAAGGAGAAAGAAAGTAACAGTATGCATGCACAAGAGGCCAGGTAGGTATCTCAAAAACCACCCAACTCCTGACATCAGCAAGATGGTGAAATGGAACGTTGCAATACCTGTCAATTAGACCAGCTATCTCTACCTATACACAAAAACACCTTTGCAAGAGCTAACGAAAAAGCCAGATGAGGTAACAGAGCCTGGGCATGATGGTGGAAGCATGGAAGCACGACAGGAAGGACAGTTTTGTATCACTTGTGTCACTCTTCCCACACTCCCAAGCACGTTAAGAAGAGATGCCCTCTGCCTGGACTTGGCCTCAGGCAGACCCCAATGTAGAGCCCAATCCAGGAGAGACCAGCATGGGGCAAGACACCGCAGCTCCCGCCTGTGCCGGTATGCACGGATGCTCATCAAGCATTCATTGTATAGACTCAATGTTGGTCAGGCAGCCACGAGTCCATGCTACAAGGCCACACCTACGGAGCTGTTTTGTTTTTCTCAGACTAGCACTTGAAACCAGAGGCCACAAGCAAACCCCTGCAGATTCAGGCTGCAAGCTTGCACCCACAACTAATCTTATAAAGAATCCTGTAACTCAGTCTCTAGGGATCCTAAGAGGCCAGACTTGGACAAGCATACCCAGGATCCACGTCTATCCCAGAAGACCCTGATTCCTGTCCAGCATCCAAAGACTAAGGTTCCATAATCATTACTATAAATCCAGGTTTTAGGTATGCCCCTCTGGACTTAGGAATCAGGTGTAACTCAGTGCCCTGGGAGTGGGAAGACTCCCATGAATTTTGGTTACAGGTCTATTCCAACAGGCACCGAGTCCTTCCCAACACAGAGTAGGTTCCAATGGGCCGAGGCATCAGGTCCTTCCTAGCACATGATAAACCCTTATATACTCAGATGTAAGACTAACACAAAGTAATGTCAGCCCCGTAGACACAGACTTCTAGCTGTCCTTCATAGAAACAAGTTCCACTTCTGTTAAGACACAAGAATTACATACCAGCTCATCTACTGAAAGCAGGCCAAACTACCAGAGGACTCCAATGGCAAACATACCCATGGATCACATCAGTTGTCCTTCCCGGAATCTCCAGATGGGCTGGCTGGTGGTGAGTTTTCCCAGACAGTCCTCAAAGACTGGAACAATTTCCTTCTTCTTCAAGTACACAGACAGTTAAGACCAGACCGTAAGAATCAATAACAATCCAGGAAATACTACCCAACCAAAGGAACAAAATAAAACACCAAAGACTGGCACTGAGGAAATGTAGTGCCCTAAAACTGCCTGAGATTCAAACCATCTGTTTTAAAAACAAAACAAACAAAAAAATTTCAAGATTTCAGAAAATAGAAGCAATTCAAAAACATTAGTACAATAAAAAAACAAAATTAGAAATGTAAGAAGTGGAAGGTTTTTTAATCAAACACATTCCAGAGCTGAAAAATACAATAAATACAAAATTTAATGCACAAGAGCAAAGATAATCCATGAAATTACACCACAAAAGGAAAACCATGCTAAGTCCTGATGAAAGCTTGCAAAATTTATGACATTAAAAAAAAAGCAGATTATAGGAGTTCCAGGAGGAAGAAAACAGTAAGCTCCTTTAAAGAACTAACAGCAGACGGGAGAGCTGGCTCAACAGTTGAAACATTGCTGTTCGTGCAGAGGACCAGAGTGTGGATCCAGCACCGGAGTCCAGTGGCTCACAATCCCCCATAACTCCAATTCCAGGGGACCTGACACCCTCTTTTAGCCTCTAAAAGCTCCCCCATACATGTGTGCATAGACTAACACAGACATTTACACATACCCATATAAAGAAATAATTCCCATTAAAAACGCATAAATTAAAATTTTAATATATAAGAGCAAAATTCTTTTCCAAATCTGGGAAGAGAAAAAAATCCAGGAACACAAAGGTCAAATATCTCTAACCAGATTCAATCCAAACAAGGTGACATCAACCACTCACTGGGAAGGGTTTTCAGCGATACAGCTACTTCTGGAAGTAAACCCCTGCACTCACTGACTCACTAAGCTAGACTGGATGGAATGGCTTCTTCGGTGCATTCTCACTACCCTACGGTGCTAGCTGGTTTTATGTCAACTTGACACAAGTTATACTCATCTGAGAGGAGGGAGCCTCAACTGAGAAAAGACCTCCATAATTATAGTTGGGCTATAGGTGAGTCTGAAGGACATTTTCTTAATTAGCAATTGATAGGGTAGAGTCCAGCCAGGTGCTAAAGAAGTAGGCTGATCTGTGGAAATCAGCACAGTGATTTCTAATAAATTAGGAATCAACCTACCTCAAGACCCAAAGGATGCACACTCACGCCACAAGGACATTTGCTCAGCTATGTTCATAGCAGCACTATTCACAATAGCCTGGACTTGGAAGCAACTTAGATGCCCCTTAACTGAAGAATGGATAAAAAAAATGTGGCACATTTACACAATGGAGTCTACTCAGTTGTAAGAGACAATGACATCCTAAAATTTGTAGGCAAATGGACAGAACTAGAAAAAACCATCCTGAGTGAGGTAACCTAGATCCAGAAAGACAAGAATATAGTGTGTACTCATTTATAAGTGGATACCAGACATAAAGCAAAAGATACCCAGCCTACAGTCCACAACCCCAGAGAAGCTTGAACCCTCTTCCAGAAACAGATGGAAGCAGATGCAGAAATCCACAACTAACCAATGGCCCAAGCTTCTGGAGTAAAATCGAAGTGAGGGAGGAGCGATAATATGAACAAAGGAGTCAAGACCATGATGGGGAAACCCATAGAATCAGCTGACCCGAGCTAGTGAGAGATCACTGACTCAGGTCTGACAGATGGGGAACCTGAATAAGACTGGACTAGACTCCATTAATGTGGGTGACAATGGTGCAGTGGGTCCAAGACCTAACTCTAATGCACAAACTGACTTAGGGGAGCCCATTCTATTTGGAGAGATGCCTTGCTCAGCTGAGACACTGGGGGGGGGGGCTTGGCCATGCCTTAATGAGATGGGACAGACTTAGTAGACTTCCAAAGGGAGGCCTTACCCTCTCCAAGGGGCAGATGGGAGGTGAAAGGGGAGGAGTGGGGGAAGCAGGAGGAGAAGAAGGAGGGGAAACTGCGATTGGAATGTAAAAAATAAAAAAATAAAATTTCAGGAAAGAAGCAGGCTGAGCAAGCCATGGGAACAAGCAGGAAGCAGCCCCCTCCATGGTCTCTGTATCAGCGCCTGCCTCCAGGCTCCTGCCCTGCTTGAGCTCCTGACCTCACTGCTTTTGAAGATGTTCCTGCACCCTAGATGGCATCAGGGATCTGTAACTTATGCTGATGAACTAAAAGATAATTTTAATAAAGCAAATATAGTAAAACATTAAAGCATTCCAAAGGTGAAGGCTACAAGCATTAGAACAGCTACAATTCTTTTAGTTGTTCTTATGCCTGAAAATTTCATAATAAAGCATTAGAAAAAAAAGACTGGCACTTCAAGAGAATATGAATATTATACTCATAGTTTTCAATATAATTTTCTTGTTTTATGACTATCATCTACAGAATGAGTTGAAGAAACACACATTAAAACAAAAAGTGAAAAGACATACCCGAATTTCTTGAAGGTTGTGAAAATTATTTCCTACTCTGACTGAGATTTTGCTTGGAGTGTAGCTTTCATCAGATTTATAGTCTGCATAAATACACAACGTCTTCACTGTTGTTTTTCTTCTAAAAAAGTTAAAAGAAAGCACGTCCTTTATCACATCAAAAGAAAACAGTCAAGGGAAAGCATGTTCTCTTCTGAGGTCCCAACAACCTGCAGGTTAAAACATGTAAAAATGTTAAGTACAGATATGGCATTTTACATATTCAAGCATTTCTAAAAATGAAAGGAAGAAATTTAAACATGGAGATATTTGTTTACCATCATATTAGAAGATATCAGAATAAATGGTGATACCCAAATTTCATTTAAAAAAAAAGAATATTGAGCCAATAACTAAATTTGTGGATCACTAATTCAATTTCTAAGTGAACTGAAAATTCAGATGTGTGTTTAACTTGGGGTGTTGGCTAAGGTCAGAAAACAAGAGAGGGGCACTGGTGTGTAGAAGGTGGAAGGACGCCTCAGCTGAGGACGATGTGATGTCTGAAAAAGCCATAGGAAAACCTAGTATCATAAACTAATTTTAAAACTATAATGAAGAACTATAGGAGTTTAAAGGGAGGTAACCCAAACAGGTAACCAATGCTCCCAGAAGTCATAATTCTCAGTGCCTGGAGTGGAATATTGCCACAGTTGTTAGTTGGGAAGGTCACAGAGCCCCCGAGAACAATACAAGCTACAGCCATGGTTCTTGGTTAGCTGCCTGGGTGTGCTTTCCAGACAAGTGCACAACAGTGATGTGCAGAGCATAGCAACCGTCCTGGGAGGGCCTATGGGCCATAACAACCAGTTGACCAATCAGCACAGGGCAGGTCGTCCAGGCCTGGAAGTGTACCAATCCTGAGACTGTTGCGTACCCCTAGATACTCTCCTTACACTGCCCTATAAGATCCCTGCCTCCTGGTTTCTCAGGGTCTTTTCTTCAGCCATCGGCTACTAATGGAGTTAGCTTGTTAAACAACAGCAATAAAAAAGACCCTTTGCTTTTGCATTGAAATGGGCCTCTCGGTGATTTGGGGGTTCAGAATTTGGCACAACAGTCTGGAGCTCTTTTCTGGGAAACCAAACTGGCAGACCTGAGCTATTCATCAGAAAAGAGAGCAAAGATTTTTTTGTAAGAAAATCATAACCCTAGTTATTCTGGAAGTGCTGACAGGACAGATACCATTCATTATGATGTTTCTTACGAGACCAAAGCTACCAAACTGACATCTTGGCAAGGACACATCAAGGAGAAGCAAAGGGTACAGAGAAATGCTGAATGGCTACTGAAGACTTTCTTGATGAGCCGTAAGCAGGAAGCAACGGTCTCCCTAAGATGGGAAGATCGGAAACCATAGAGATTAAAAAGAAAATCAAAAGCAGATGTAAAGGATCAATCGTTTTACACAATTTTATTACTTCCAAGTATTGCAATTCAGGGTAACGTCAACACCAAAATCAAAGTGAGTTTAGAAAGGTGGAGAATGGTAACAATGAGCATTCAGAACAATAGCAACCTATGGCAAGAGAATACTTTGCGGCTGACCCAGAACTAATGCTTCACGTGTTCTCTATCTGTTCTATCACCATTTCACTGCTTCTATGGTTAAAGACATAACACTAGGATAAGTGACCTACGTAAACACGCTCGTAAGTGCTCTACTTCTACAAAGAACATGTGTATGCAGAAAGGGGACTGACAAACCGAGACGCCGCCATCTTCACTCTGCTCACCATCACCACCCTGAACACCTGCAGCATACAAGTCACTGTGCGCAGCTCAGACAAGTGCTTGTCTTCCTTCCTTTAACCAATCAGTGCGACCTTCCTTTAATAACTGGATGTAGTGTGCGTATCAGCCATCGATCGATATCAGTTTACAGCGATGAGTAGATATTTGTAGTTATTTACATTTGAGCTAAAGCATTCTTTTCTTGAGGCTTATGCACTTATGTATGTATTATATACAGTCATATAACATTTGCAGAAAAACAGCTATTGCAGCAAAGAATTCTAAAAGGTACAGCAAATCTTTTTTCAACTACTAAATTTTGCCTCATACTAATTCAAAAAATAATAATACTGCATAAAAAGCACATTGTTTCTCAAATAATAATATACATGGGAAAATAAAATATACAGACTGAATCAGAGTGGAAGATGCTGGAATTACTCAAATCACTCTGACTATGGTCACTGTATTGTGTGAACAACTAATGCATGCCAAGTACCTCAGGGTTAAACTCTTAGGAAACACTGATAAAAGGGAAACGGAGAAATGCCTACCTGTTTCTGATTGACATAAATACCATACCTGACTTCCCTCTGTCCTCCAATCTATTCAACACTTTCTCCTAAGAAACAGCTTCAGGCAAGAAGCAAGCATTTTCTTTGTTCCTTCATTCCATAAATACAAAACCAAGCATGTCTGGTCTAGCTACAAATGAATAAGTAAGTCTTTAATTCTAGTCTCTAATTCTAGGGTTCGATGCTACCAAATACACTTGGCTGAAGATTCAATGCAGTTAGTATGTTTTTATTAGCTTCTTAGTTCTAACAAGTGATACTTTGTCCTGCACCTTCTGACTCCTGAATAATTTCTCATCTGGTTAAGAATCTAAGACAGTTTAATCCCAGGACTCCAGGGTTAGGGTTAGGGTTAGGGTTAGGGTGGGAGGTAGAGGCAGGCAGATCTCTGTGAGTTCGAGACCAGCCTGGTCTACAGAGTGAGTTCCAGGACAGTCAAGGCTACACAGAGAAACAGACAACAAAAACGAAAACCAGGCAGTCTCACCACAGGACGAGGAAAGAGTTATGAGTGTGGGCAGCAGATGAAATCTGCATGGGAGCCTGGAGCAGGCAGGGAGGAGATACACGTCCACCAGGGCACAGGAAAAGAAGAACTGCCGGGAGAGCAACGGCAAGCGAGCACTCTTAGTCATGGGAAATGAACGGGGCATGACTGCCATTCCCAAATCAGAGACAGCGCGTCTGCACTTCTCATCTGTAGAGATGTGAAGAGCTGCTGCCCCATCACACACACCACACACTATACACACTCTATACACACACACACATACACTCTATACACACACATACACACCCACACATACACACTCCATACACACACCACACATACACACCCACACACATACACACACCACACATACACACCCACACACATACACACCCACACACATACACACACCACACACACATACACACACATACACACCCACACACATACACACACCACACACACATACACACACAATACACACCCACACACATACACACACCACACATACACACCCACACACACATACACACCCACACACATACACACACCACACATACACACCCACACACATACACACACCACACACACATACACACACCACACATACACACACTATTCACACACCCACACACTATATACACACACCACACTATACACACACATACACACTCTATACACACTCTATACACACACATATACACACACCACACATACACATATCACACACACATATACACACCACACATACACTCTATACACACACATACACACTCTATACACACACACATACACACCCACACATACACACTCTATACACACACACATACATTCTATACACACACACATACACACTCTATACACACACACATACACACTCTATACACACATATACACCACACACACCACACACACATACACCACACGCATACACCACACACACAAATACACACCACACACTACACACACCACACACATACACACCACACACACCACACACATACACACACACACCACACACATACACACTATATACACACACTATACACACACACCACACACATATACACCACACACATACACACTATATACACGCACTACACACACACATACACACCACACACACACACCACACACACCACACACATACACACACAGAGCCACCGTGTCTCCCTTGCCCGATGGCCTGTACCCTCTGAAACTGGTAAACGTTCTCCTTAAGTCACTCTGCCAGGGACTTTACCTGAAACAACACTACACCTGGGAATTGAGAATCAAAGCCATGTGATGTCACTTCACAGGCACTAACATGATCATTATTTTTAAAGCATAGTCTGTCATGGAAGGGAACAAATGGCAGGAGGGACAGCTCATGGCTATGGCAGCAGGAGGGTGAGGCTGCTAGCTGACTTCTGTGCAGAACCGGAAACAGAACAGGAAACACTGACTCCTGTTGCTCCCTTTTCTCTTACTCAGTTTAGGTCCCTAGGTATGGGATCACGCCAACAACATTCAAGATGCATCTTGCTCTTCAGGTTAAGCAGTTTTGGGAATGCCCTCATAGTCACACCCAAAACCGTGTCTCCTAAGGAACTGTCTTACGTAGGCTTACGATTGCTTTGACGAAACACCATGACCAAAAGCAACTTGGAGAGGAAAGGGTTTATTCACTCACAGTTCCATACAACAGTTCACTAACAAAAGCAGTGAGGTCAGGAGCTCAAGCAGGGCAGGAGCCTGGAGGCAGGGGCTGATACAGAGACCGTGGAAGGGGCTGCTTACTGGCTTGTTCTCCATGGCTTGCTCAGTCTGCTTTCTTTTCTTTTCTTTCTTTTCTTTTTCTTTTTTTCTTTTCTTTTTTTTTCAAGACAGGGTTTCTCTGTGTAGCTGTGGAGCCTATCCTGGCACTCACTCTGTAGACCAGGATGGTCTCGAACTCACAGAGATCTGCCTGCCTCTGCCTCCCAGTGCTGGGATTAAAGGCGTGTGCCACCACCACCAGGCCAGTCTGGTTCCACCCACAATGGGTTGGGCCCTCCCCATCAAGCAAACATGAATATCCACCAAAGAAAGCAGCCGTCACTGCTTGAAGCTAGCCTAAAAGAAATGCCATGAATGCTGGAGCCCAGGACAGACGGTCACACACACAAATGTTACAGGGGCTTACCGTCTTCCCTTGAGTCTCAGAAGAGAGTTTGAACTTGGGATTTTGATCAGTGGATAACTGTGGAACTACTGAGATTTTGAAGATGGACTGAATGCATTTGAAAAATGAGATGGCCATACACCTAAGGCCCCAGTAGTCAAATGGGAAATGTCCCTTCCAGGCTTCCTGCTCCCAATTAATAGAACTATTGAAAGGTGGGGGCCCAGCTAGAGGAAGTCAGTTACTTAGAGCTGGGGTTGAGATTTACAATGTGACTTCATCTCCTGGCCTGTCTCCGCTTCCTTGTCTACTGAAGGACACCCATTAGCCTCACTTTTATGCCACCACAGCCACAAACCATTCCCACCACTGTGCTGCCTCCACGTAACGGACTCCACACTGTCCCCTCAAACCACGAGACAAATCTTCCTGTAAGTTGCTTCTCATCAGCCATTTGGTCCCACGGACTAGGGAAAGTAATACAAATAGGCAATCATTTGGTAAAGAGGCAGAACCTTTGTTCTGAGACAGGGTTTCTCTGTGTAGCCTTGGCTGTTCCAGTGCTCACTCTGCAGACCAGGCTGGCCTCAAACACACAGAGATCTGCCTGCCTCTGTCTACTGAGTGCTGGGATTAAAGGTGTGCGCCACCATGTCCTGCCACAATCTCAACCCTTAAAAAAGTTAACTGCTATTGCTGGCACATATATATTACAACCTAGAATAGCACCCAACTCCTGCCTCACGTCTGCTTTTGAGGGACACAGTTTAACTGGAGGCACACTAAATTCAGTCATTTATGCATTGGTATTTGGCTGTTTGGTGCTGCAATGGCAGAACTATGTAGCTACAATGGAGACCAGAGGGACCACAAGATTCTAACATTTATTATCTACTCAAAAGAGGTTTGCTGATTAGAACCCTACAAGAGAGGGAAGCACCTAGAAATGAAACGCTTTAGAACGGTAGAGGATGTAATGTAACAGCAAGATAACAAGGCTGACTAGTTTTCATAACCAACAAATCCAGAGCACTAGGCAAACATACAGGTGTTTTCCTATCTCAAAAATAGTAAGTATTTTAAATCTAAGCTTACAAATTCTATAATAAGTCCCCCCAAGGTTAAGTACAAATATGAAAAATTACCTAAATACCATACCCAAGGAACTTATAAGCATCATATATTAAGGCATTATCCCGGGTTATAAAATGTATTTTTCTGACTCTAGCTCCCAAAATTGAATCATATTACTTCAGAATTACTTACATAAAGCTTCGCCAGAAATGTACAAAGAGGACTAAAGAGATAGATTCTGGATAAATGTCTGCCTCACAAACATGAGGACCTGAGTTCACAACCCTACAATATACTCTAGCCTTAAGAAGGAGGCAGGAGGAAGGGCAAAGAGACGTGGAACCCTCAAGCTCAGTAGCCAATCAGCTTAGCCAAAGGGATGACCTTCAGGTTCGCTGGGAGACCCTGTGTAAACAGATAAAGATGCAGAGCAACTGAGGTAAGACACCCCACATCAACCCTGGGGGATACACGCACACTCAACAGTATCCATGTACACCCCTATACACACACCGGCATCATAACACACACATATCACAACACACACCCACCACAACACACATATGACAACATACGCACACATCACAACACACACCCAGCACAACACACACACACAACATGACGACACACATCACAACACACATCGCAGCACACACATCACAACACACACATCACAACACACACATCACAACACACATCAACACACACATCACAACATACATCAACATACACACATCACAACACACACATATCACAACATATACCCATCACAACACACATATCACAACACACACACATCACAACACGCACATCGCAACACACAACATACAACAAACACATCACAACACACATCAACATACACACATCACAACACACACACACATCACAACACACATACCACAACAACACACACACACACATGCACACACACAGAAAAGAGAATTGCATAAAGGGTAGGACAGAATACACTGACACTGCTTGGATTTAGATGGTAAAAATATCTTTAAGACTTAATAGAGTCTAACAACAGTTAAGTATATTTCATTTTAATTTCTATATTTCTGTAAATTTTATGTAAATTATCCTTGTTCACTTATAACCTACAGTATACAAAAAAGTAAAAATGTATTACCTGAATTGGATGTTCACTAAGTGAGGTTGAGAGCCATCAGATTGCCAGTAAGTTTCTAGATTGTCATCTCGTAATTGATCCACTCCAAAACCTAAACAGTAAAAACGGCCATAAATTTCCATGAAAAAAGCTATACATTTAAGACATAAAATTATCATACTAATAGTCCAGAAATTTAATAAAGAAGACAGTTAAAATAGAAAACCAAATGTTTGCACTCTCACCCAGTAAGCTGTGTGGCTCACTGGTAGACTGTTGTCTGTCATGTGTAAGGTCCTGGGTTCAAGCCCCTTGACATACAGTCAAATGCTTTGGGTGGGTGGTTTTTAAAAGGCATCTTTGGGGATATATAAAGTCCCTATTTGCTCAAATCCAAACTCTTACCCTGTTTATAAACTGATCATAAGAACAGTCCATTCTGTGTCTTTAAAATAGGCAGGTTTAAGCACACTCAGTATGTCACCCTTGCTTTTTGCTACTTTTTAAGTTCCCTAATAAGGATAACTAAATGTGAGGATGCTTAAGAGAGCCCTTGTTAAATGACCTAGTGAGTTAAAGGCTTTTTCTACTTACTCTACTTTGGCTACATTATCCCCTGTTTTACAATTTTAATAGTACCTTAGTTCAAAGAATTTCATAAAATGGCATTTAGTCTTAAGCAAAATAAATATAAAACAAAATCTTTTTTGGGGGGGTAGTTTGAGACAAGGTTTCTCTGTAGCTTTGAAGCCTGTCCTGGAACTTGTTCTGTAGACCAAGCGGGTCTCGAAGTTTAGTGTAGCTGTGAGCTACCCTTAGAGCAGCTCACAACTACTGTAATTCTAGGACTGAAGCAATGGCTCAGCCATTAAAGGCTAGGCTCACAACCAAAAATACAAAGAAAATCCTTTAACTCAAGACTAATTAGAAATGTACTTCTAAGACATTAGCTATGAACATATAATGGGAAAATAAACACAAGCACAACCTTTTGAGAACTGACTGCTCTGGACCTTTACCTCTAGGACACCGAGTATGATTACCAGCTTTCACTTCCATAGTTTTCTGGTAAGCAGAGTGTCTTACAAATGTAAACTCACATGCCAATGACACCTCTTTCCTAAGGCTTCTGATGTCACTGTCATACCTGAGTTGTCTTAGTAAAAAAAAAAAAAAAAAAAAGACTTAAAATAATGGCAAATCTGTTTCAACAGTCTTGACAGGTATTATGTATCCAGGTAAGAATATTATTCAGAGGGGGAAAAACTTTAATATGCCATAACAGGTTCCAGTGGTTCCTTTTTTACGGTTTTATTGTGCTCGCAGACACTAGACGAGGGGACTGGTCTCCTGAAGTGGGAGTTAGAAGTGGTTGTCAGTTGCACAATGTGAAAGATGGGAACTGAACTCAGGTCCTCTGGAAGAGCAACAGTGTTCAACAGCTGCTCTCTCCAGCTGCAATGGTCCTACAGTACGGCCCTCCACCTGCAACATCATTCCAGAGCTGCAACGCCATTAATGCTGAGAGCATGTAGATGAATCTTTTAGGTGATTCTGAAGCATGCTAAGATGTCACAGTTACTTCTCTAAGGTTACATTTCTTCCTCTAGTCTTAGTACTATTCATCTTTTGAACTCAACAACAACAACAAATTCTTTGTTATGAGGTAGCTGTCCTGACCTCTACTTACTTGATGCCCAGAAAGTAACAACTCTCCCTCCATCCCAAGGTCATGATAACAATCAAAAAATCTGCAGACAGTGCTAAAGGATGGGGCTAGGGTACAGGCAATAAAACCATCCATAAGTAAAAACAATTGTCCCAAGGCAAAGAAGAACAATATTCCTGTGGTTATGGTTATTGTTTAGCAAATATTCACCTTTTTCTCTTGGCCCTCCATGGGAGGTATATGGTCACATTTGGATTAAGTTCAGACTGATCTGGGTTCAATACAGTGTGAATAAACGTGACACAAGCTTCAGTTTTAATGTGTTTACAAGATCTGGATTAATCTTCTAAATGTCTCTATCCCACCACAAGAGCATGTCTGGATCCATAGAGCAGACACTAATACGTGAAACATAAATAAGTACTCAAGCCATTTTCTTCTTAAGCATCTCTAACAACACGATTACTTTCACACTGGATAGGGGGTTACTATAACTGAACCACATTCCAGACTTTTGAGACCTAACAAGTAACATGTGGGGTCAGGTGTGGTTGATTACACCCTTAATTCCAGCACTTGGGGCAAAGGCAGGCAGATCTCTGTGAGTTTGAGGCCAGCCTGGTCTACATAGAGAGTTTCAAGTCAGCCAGCACTATACAGTAAGACCCTGTCAGAAAGACACAGACAATCAGACAGACTGAGAAAAAAGAATATGGACTTCACAAAAGAAATCACCTATTATTATATCGTACAATGATTTACAGTTCAACTAAGTAAAACCAGTGTGCTTTCTCCTTGTACTTAAAATCCAAATTCTTTACGCATGTGTGTGGTGTATGCATGTGTTATATGTTCGTGCATGTACATGTGTATTATGTGTGCATGTGGAGACCAGAAGTTGATACTAGGTATCTTCCTCTATAAGAAAGCAAGCTGAGCAAGCCATGGGTAGCAAGTCAAAGAGCAGCACCCCTCCATGGCCTCTGCATCACCTCCTGCCTCCAGATTTCTGCCCTGTTTGAGTCCCTGTCCTGACTTCCTCAAGTGATAAACAGCAATGTGACAGTATAAGCCCTTTCCTCCCCAACTAGCTTTTTGGTCATGGTGTTTTGTTGCAGCAGTGGAAACCCTAACTAAGACAAATGTCTTCCTCAATCACTCTCTTCATTAGGTTATAAAGCAATGTCTCTCACTGACCCTGAAGCTCATCAATTCAGTAAGATTATCTGCCCATCAAGTCCCAGGGATCCTCTTATCTCTGCCTTCCAAGCCTCTGCCATGACAGGATTTTTACACCGGTGCTAGGGATCAAAACTTAAGTCCTGCAGCTAGAGAAGCGGGTCAGCAGGTAACATTTGTGCTGCTTTTGCAGAAGACCCAGGTTCAGTTCCCAGCACCCACATGACAGCTCACATTCATCTGTAACTCCAGTTCCAAGGATCCGATGCATCCTCTGGCCTCCAGAAGCACCACACACACAAAGTGCATATACACACATATGGGCAAACAGTCATACACATAAAATAAATCTTAAAAAAACAAAAACCTCAGTCCTCATGCTTAAATACACAGTCACTTTACCAACTGAGCCACGTTGGCAGGCCTCAACCCCAATTCTGTTTCATGATGTACAGACTTACTATCATCTGGCCATATCTGATGATTTCTCTAACCTGATCTGCAACTGTCCTCCTCATTTACCATCTTCCAGCCACTCTAGCTGCTACTTAAATCGCAAATGTGAGAACTCATTTCTTTTAAAGCACTGTAGCTGTCACGTGTGAAGATGGTTCTCTGAATTTTTACACAACAGATTCTCTTGCACATTCACAATTGAGTGCATATCCCACTTCTAAAAGAAGCCTTTCTTACTTTCTTGAAGTTATTTTCTGTCATTTTGCTGTTTTATTTTCTCTGAAGCATATATTCAACTCAGAAGCCTTTGCCTCAATGACCATAACTGCTAGTTATAGGATGAACTCAAATTAAATCATAGGATTAAAAAAAACTTATACTATGCTATAATGCTACTCAAACAAAAGCAATTTTACTCATAAAAGCAATCCCTTATAAAAATATGGATCAACTAGATTAGGTAACACAAAATACCATTATAACACTCACTTATTTTGCATCAAATACAGAATCAAACATATGAAATGGGTCTATTTCCCCCAACTTTTATTTTTCATTATGGTATGCATTTGGTGTTACTAAATGAACTGATTAAGCTATTATATGACCTTTTTAAGATGCTAACTGTAACCTTTAGTTTTTCTAGTCTCCCGGGCAGAGACTAACAAATATGCTAAGTTGTATGACTGTTTTGTGCTGTTTTCAACTAAGCTGAATCTATTAAATGTATTCTAACTGTAATCTGAGAAAAGGACTGAACAAGTGTTTCCAAAGGTACAATTTTGCAGCTCCACACAGCACCTTTCATCCTTTAGCAGATAAGCAAATCTCTGCATTAATAGCTCTCAAAGACTGATATCAACATTTAAAAATGATTAAGACTTTCCCTTACCTACATCACTTCTTACCTGAATTACCACATTTTCTTTAACTGGGTTTTTGAGCTCTACTCTTGTCTCACCTCAATGTGTCCTCCACAATTCTCAAATGTAAACAAATACTGTTTTATTCTGCTACTTAAATTTTTTCAATGGTTCACAATCTATAAACACAAAACAAGCTAGGCTGTGGTAGTGCACAGCTTTAATCCCAGCACTCAGGAGACAGAGACAGGTGGATCTTTGTGAGTTCAAAGCTAGTCTGGGCTACAAAGTAAGTTCTAGGACAGCCAGGGCTACCCAGAAAACCCTGTCTGGAAACCCAGTACAACAAAAGGAAAGCTGTCTATACCCCGTTCTCAAACAATTATTCTCACCTTTACTATCTCTGTAGAATCTGCTCCTCTGGACTAGTTCTCCTAACCCTTAAAATGGCTCACGCCATGACTACACATGTGGTTTAGCTATATTCTGCACACCTTAAATAGTACCTCCATGAAGAAATCCTTGACAAATACTGTAAAAGAGATTCAAATCGAATCACAGCAACTATTGTGGGACATTATTTTAAGGCCTGTTACATTAGCTCATGTTATAGAACATTTGCTTAATGATCCAAAGATATGCTGCATCCTTTATGCTGCATTTGTTTACGGTGAAGCTGTGTTACTGTGCCTGTTTAAACACCCGAGGGTCTAATAAAGAGCTCAATGGACAATACTGAGGCAGGAGAAAGGACAGGTGGGGCTGGCAGGCAGAGAATAAATAGGAGGAGAAATTTGGGAAGAAGAGAGCAAGAGAACAAAGAAAGGAGGATGCTAGGGGCTAGCCACCCAGACAGCCATGGAGTAAGCATGAAAGTAAGGTATACAGAAGTAAGAGATGGGATAATTTCAATTTAAGAAAAGCTGACAAGAAACAAGCCAAGCT